TATGGTTAGAAAAATATAAGTAGATGGAATCGGCAGGTCCCATTATTTCTGCGTGAGGTTGAGACACCTGCTAGCAACGTGGTATTTTTAACTTTTTTTTTTTTTTTTTTTTTTTTTTTTTGCCTAAATACAAATGTCAGCGTGTCCCTCCCCCAACTCCTGTCCTGAGCTAAGGCCAAAGAAAGAGGCAGAGCGCGCTCTGAGAGAGAGTGCAGGGGCTGGCAGACGCACCTCTAGTGCGGGTGGGCGCGGGTCCGTGTGCCCTGGGCTGCATGATGGCAAGGTGTGGAGCATGGAGCGAATCCTTCTCAAACACTGCCCCCTGGCGCTCCCCGGCTCCCGCCGGCCCCAGCGCCTGCCTCGGGGCGGGTGTGGATGCACTGGGCTCTGCGGAGGGGCCCACGTGGCTCCCAGGACTGCTGAGCCTGCAGGGGCCAGCGCCGCGGGCTCATGGGCTTCCTAGGGCCCCGGGGTGCTTCCGCCGTGACATGAAGACCGAGCCCCTGCGCCCGGGGGATCAGGTCTGGGACTGCGTCGTCGGCAGCGTGGCTCATAGTTGGCGCCTGGGGCTGGCTGCGCCACGCATACTCGGTGCTCTCCATGCTCTCCAGGCTGTACAGTGTGCGGAGGCCTTGGCCCTCGCCGGAGCCTTCCCGAGTCGCGCTACCTGCTGAACCCCGGGCAACCCCGGCCGAGCTTGAAAGGAGCCCCTTTCCCAGGGGATCCTGTTTCTGCCCTAAACTAAGATTTCCTCCTTAAAAAAAAAAAAATCTGTTTTCACAGATGCAGAAAAGGAAGAAGATACAAGGAAAGGAAATCAGCCTCTTGCGTTCTTGGTGTTTGGTTTGAGTCAGTTCCTGTCTTGATTTTATTTAATGCCATCATAATGTATCAGCATTTGCAGAAACATTTAAAAATGCCATTCTCTCCAGCTCCAGTCCAAGAGACGGGGGGAAGGTCATGGAACCGTTCCACCTGCCCCGCTCCCTCCGTCTCAGCACGAAGACCGGGCAGCTTCCCGAAGAGGCCCGCAAACAGCAGCCGGGCCCAGCTCTCTCATTCCAGCGCAGGGCCACGTGCATCCCGGATTCGACCCTCCCCAGAGCGCCTGAGCCTCCCCTCACTTCCCGCAGGCGCTGGGAAGTCCTGGCCTGTACTAGCCGTTGAATGTCTGGCTGAGATGACTCCGCTGCAGCTCGCTTTCATGCAGCCAGAGTTTTCTCTGCTGGAACAGTGGAAGGGTAAGCTTGTCTCCTTCACGGGGTACCAGACCATTTATAGATATCTGAGGCCCTTTATAAGTACAAAGTATTATTATTTAGGAGTCACTGAATTGATAAGCATATTCACGCCTAAGGAATTTGGGGAAGAGAGCTTTAAGGAAGGAATAGCAGTAAAAATGCAGCTAGGTATGTTTTTGAAAATATTTTGAAGTCTACTAAGAAAAAGTCTCAAATATCAGATAGTTGTTTTGAAAGCACCTAAATTGCATTATTATTATTTTGGTCTAGAGCTACAGAAAAACTCACAAAGGAGGAAAGTGAGGGTTTGGTTGGGGAGGGGGCTATGAATTTGCAGAACTCCCTCTCCCACCCCCTGGTGTGGCCGTAGTCATGAGCACAGCTGGACGCCCGTGCCTTCCTCCTCCTGTGAAGTTTTGCAGTGTCTCTTCTGATTGACATCACACCCGGGCCATCACCCTCTGACTCCCCATGGTAGGGCAGGGAACTAGAGAGATTTAGTTGGTTTCCAGAAGCATAATGAGTCCTGGGGCTCGTGAGCAGAGCTGTGGGAACTTGGCAGCTGTCCCTGGAGCCTGGGGAACTTCCAACCAGAGTGAGTGGGGACGTTACAAGCTGTCACACCCCAGAAAGGAAAGACCTTTCGCTAAGGTGGAGAGAGAGGCTGATTCATCCGGGCGATGGTGTTACTGGAGAAAGGCAAGGCCTTGGGAACTCTAAAAAGTTCCTGGGGCCCCTCCGCCAGCCTGCCACGCCCAGGATCACGCGGTGCACGCGGAGTCCCCGCCAGCTCTCCTGGGTGCGCTCCTGAAAAGCAGCCGTATTTGGAGCTGATCCAGATCCTACCCCCTGCGATCTATCCTGCTTTCTCTTTGGAAGGAAAACAGCGACAATACCGACCAAACCCTACAGAGTGGGGGACCAGAGCGCTGGGCAGCGGGTGGCGGGCGGTGCACGGAACGTGATTTTTGCTGGATGATAACAAAAGCTGTGGGATCACTTAAACCACTCTTATGTATGTCCATCCACCAAGGGAAAACAAAGTGATTGAAACAAAAGAATGTTTCCCAAAGGACAAATCGGCTTCCTCTTTGGCGACCTGAGAAAAGTTTACCACAACTCCATCCAAAACCTTCAGGCACTTGACTTTTTTTTTTTTTAACAGCCTTTACCTTTTTAATAAAAAGTAAAAAACAAACAAAAAATACATTAATGTCCTGAACAGAACCTCTCTATGTAAAGTTCTCACTAAACAAATAAACATAGGACCAGACAAAAGAAATGGAGCTGTGAATAGCAATCTGATATATTATGAAGCATTTATATATATGTATATTTTATAGATGAGTGTGCGGGTATATATGTGTGCACCTATGTATGTATAAATATGTCAGTATTTGTCTACATACAAGTCACACACACATACATACATATTTGTACTGACCTCTTCAGACTGAAGTCCAAGGCACTTTTTACAAGGAACAGGTTAAAGCCATGAGTTGAGAACAGAACTGTTTCTGGGTACATATCGATTCGCGGTGCCAAGATCAGAATTCATGTCTTCCCTTGTCCACTTTGGAGTGTCTCTGCTTGGTGTGATGAATGAGAAAATTGGCTTGAAAAGCGATTAGGCGTGTTTCTGGATGGCTGCACTAACTTTGCTTGCTCGTTTCCTCTCGGGGAGGGAGCCATCTCTGGAGGGGACGAGGGCACCAGATCACAGGGCAGTTTCTATGTTGAGCTGAGCTGAGAACTGTGTGACCTTCTAAGGGTGGGGAGGGGGGTGTCTCTGAGTTCCACCTGATCTTCTGATGGCCCAGGTAGTTTAGACTCAAATTTTAAAAACCTAACAGGAGCTTTGAGGAGCCTCAAGGCTAAGAAGTCAGCCCTTTTGGAATTAGACCAGAAAAAAGCTGGCCACTGACTGGTTTGTCACTGAGTTCTCTGTATGCCACTCCAGCTATGTCGCCCCATGTGGAATCATCACACACGTTTGTCTTTATGCTCATACGGGACCTTGACGTCATCACATAAGTGAGGCTCGAAGGCGAAATGGTTTAATTCTCCAACTAGCAATGAGTTTGGTCCTCACTGAGGTGTGGTCTCTGCCGTGCACCGGAAGATGGGATGATGCCCACCTGATGAAGGGGGTTTGGTCTCAGCTCACAGTTCTGCATTCCTAAACTGGTGCCAGTGCCGCTGGGCTACAGACCACTCTTTGAACGGCAAGGGTAGCCACGGGCACGTGCTTAGAGGACTGGCAAAAGTCTGCTCTCCCCTGGTCCAGAAATGGTATTGGTTTCCCTAATTCTAGATGGAGTGACAGTTTTGATGGGAAAGTTCAGACAGTATTTGCTCTCTATCAATGTCAATGTCTTAGTCTGGGAGGTGCAAGAAGAAAAAGCCCAAAGAGACAGTTCCAGTTAGCAGCAGCAAATTCTTAGGAAGCAAGTCAGTTACCCCCGGTACATTCATCAGTCATTTGTAAAACAGAATAAGCTGTTTCCACTGTCCAGGAAGAAGGGGCCGGCTCAGCACAGGCACCTGGGATTCGGATGGCTTTAGCAGAGCTCTGCCTGCCTGACATATGGCTGGGGAGTAACACAGACACTGAGAGAATTTAGCTTCATAAAGATAAAACAAGGTAGGGCTCGGGTGCACCAGCAGCCTGGAGCTGGGCATTTCGGTACTTCTCTCTGGGCTGGCGCGAATCAACTCATGTCGTGGAGGTTTAAGCCTTACCTACATGTAAGCTAAAATAAATGGAAGTTTGAGAGGATGCCAGCCTGTTTCCCAGGAGAAGCGCTGTTGTTTCGCTTTCTGTGTGTGTGTCTGTGTGAGTTCTCAGAGTCTGTGGAGGCACGAGACACACGTGGGCTCAGCAGAGTCTACACGGACTCCAGGAGACCTTCGCTCTGAAACCACACACGACCGTTTCCATCCAGTGCCCCAGTTACTGCGGGAGGGCCATGCATCAGACCACGCGTCTGGCTGCCACACACTGGGGCGGGGACCAGATTTCATGAGCTGCCCAATTCTGCTATGAAAGGACACGGTTCCACTGGACTGCATGTGCCCCCAGCTAGAATAACTGGAAGAAAGCTCAGCCCAGCTCTCGGCTTCCTCCCTGCACCGTCCCCTAAGGAGCTGGGCTCCATGTTGGTGATAAGTGTGTGGAAACCTCGCTCCCGCCAGGGCGTCGCCAGCTCAGAAAACACAGCTGCAGGTCGCCGGGCTCTGGCTGGGCAAGAGGGCACTCCCATCCTGGCTTGGCTCTTCCCAAGAGAAAGTCGGGATGCCCAGGGTTACGAATGTTTTTTGAGTCACAGGAAAACAGGAGTCTTCCTTCTGCCTAATGCTGACATTGCCAAAGGGAAACCGGCTGGCTGGGATTGCGACATTTAATTTATGGACTACGGTGCTTGCAATTACATAGAAAGAGCCTGCGCTTTTATTAAACTGGCTTTGCACAGCTACTAAAGGAGTGATGGCTTTTAAAATCTCCTCGGAAATGGCTTGATAGAATTTAGGGTAAAATGGTTGTTTTCTAAGCTGGGACCAGTGTTCTTTTGTGTCCAAGGCTCAGCTCCTGCAGAAGAACACTGTGGCGGCCCAGCGGGTGGGGGTGGGGGTGGGGTGGGGGTGGGAGGACCCCTGGTGTGGGTGTCAGGCAGTCACCACCGATGATGTGTACTCAGAAACAGTCGTGGCGGAGCAGGCTGACACGGGACCTGCTAAAGACTAGTTTGATACAAAATGTTAATTGAAAGTTACAATATATTTTATAATATAGCAATATATTTCATATTTAAAATAAACTGTTATGCTTTCTCCTATGGTTAAAAAATAGCAAGCAGTACAGAGGCAAGACGCAAATTCATGTTGAAGCTCGTCCGATTCTGAGTATAAACACTTGAGTTTCCGAGTTTGCCATGATAACGTCTCCTCCATGGACATCTGTCACTCTGTTGTTATCCTCTTGTGGCCAGTGCAGAATGGAGAGTCTGGGGCCAAAACGGAGCTGTCGCACCATCAGATTTGTGTCTGACGGAGATGGAACAGTCCTGGCTGGGGTTCAGAAACCTGGTTCAATGACACAACCACAGAATGTGCCCCGTCCTGTGAAGCTGGATGCTGGCTGTTCCAATCAGATTCATATTTGATTTGTCTTTTTTTTTTTTTTTTTGGCTATAAAGGTCAGCATCTCTTTGGAATCCTGACTACAGGTTGGTGTTGAATTTTGTGCTTTTCCTCCACCAGCTGGGTTGGTCACGACGTCTCTTTTGTTGGTTTCAACACATGGTCCAGGGCCCAAGCTCACAGCTTCCAGCATACATTTCTCAGGTGTGTAAACAAGTGTCGCAGGGCGCTTGGCACCTAGATTTGGAGGTCATACGTTGAAGATTTGACATTGGTTTTGTTCAGAGGGAACTCCAGTTCATGGTGGGGGTATTTCCAGTAATGATGAAAGACAAAAAGATCACAGTTGTTTTTTCTCTATCTGTATATACGTATATACCATTGCACTGAGTACTTTTGAATAAGCTGTGGTCTAGTTCAATAAAAACCTACATATTACTTGTCTGACAGGAGTATACTGTTAATTTCTGGTCACGCAGCCTGGCTCAAGCTCTCTACCACCACAGGCGGACGGGAAATATTGCCCTCCCTGGGATGCTCCCTTCCAGTGGCACCAGCAGTCCCACACCCAGAACTTCTGTGGCAGTGCAGAAGGAAGGGATACTGCCCAGGGCGTCGTCGAGCGGGCAGACTGCCTGCCGGGGGAGGGGGAGGAGAGGGGCTGGGCGTGGCTGCCGGGAAGCCAGCAGATAGCTGTCTAAGGTACTGAAACCAGATGCCGCCGAGTCAGTAGGGACGGCAAAGCCACCACCAGCGGATCCTCAAACTGCTGCTAGCAACTTTCAGGGAAGCAGAATGACTGCATAAGCCGGGGACACACTTCAAGGTTTAAAGACAGTGGCTTTAAAAGAGCGGTAACCTACTGGTAGTGCAATGGCTGCTCGGGGCCTCGGCCGCGGCACCGTGGCGGCGGCAATGCCGGTTGTTCTGGGGAGGAACACTGAGTCTGAAAGGGGGTTTGCACTGTTCGTCAAGTTGTGCCCGGAAGGAGGGAGGTCCTGAAACTGCATGCAGATCCTGTATTTCTCCCTGCTGAGCTCACTTGCTAGTGGGTAGGTAATAACTGGTTAACTCCCGACTGCACTCAAATCAGCACGAGGTGCGGACTGGATGGAGTCTGGCTGGGCCACTGCTAATGACAATGTTTCTCTTTGGATATTTGGTACTTAGGGATATCAGCCACGTCTCCATTTAAATACAGCGGAAGTGGTGCATGAGGTGGGCGTATTACTCGGCCACTGATGTCCTAGATCTTTACTGATGCTGATTTGTATCACCGGTTTTCTTCTTTTCCATGACTGTTCATTCTAAAGGGAAGAACTGAAATGTAAAGGGAGATCCCCAAGTACATTATAATGGTTATTTCTGCGGTGCTCTTCCTTCTTGGCATCTAATGAGAACAACAGCGCGCCCTCGCTGGGCACTTGGGCATTTCTCTCCGTCTCCTGCTGGATGAGGCTGCTTGCAACCACCAGTTCCTGCTGAGGGCAGATGTCAGCAGGAACTCAGGGCCTCACCCCGCTTGTTCCTCTGGACTGCAGAGACTGAGCGGCATGAGTCACGTGTCCGGAAGATAGCAGGCATCATCCTAGGTGCTGCATGGCGACTTACTAATGACGATCACACACAGGTGGCCTTGGATCCAAAGGTGCGGTTTTTATTTGGACTTCAATCTAAGGAGGAGCGAGCCCCTCGTCTGGCGTGATTCACCACTGACGCTGTGTCTTGGAGTCTCGCTGAATCAGTGGTCTGAGGGCAGCACAGGGCGTCCTGGCTTTACAGTACGTGAAGCTAGAATATGGCTTAAGCGATGGGGGAAGGGGGTGGCTCTGCAGTTCTAATTCAAGCATCCAGACATTGCAAGGAATATTCGAGAGCCTTGACCTGTCACTGGGTCATCAGAAAGACGGCAGTAGAGCCACTGCCTTGGGTCAGCCTTCCAGGAGTGGGCAGAAATCAACCAGTTTAGTACTGGAGTGAGGATACCCAGAAGTCAGTTTTATGACAGCTGATTGTAGAGTAGATAATCAAATCTCCACTACTAAACTCGGAAGTAGGGTATGAGAAGGCCTGGCGTGAGAATCCACCTGCCCCCTTTTCTCATCTGACTGAGAGGAATTAGCCAACAGATGTAGGAGGAAAACCTGGGCGAGCTACACCCAGGGTCACCAGTAGCTAAGTCAGCAAGGATTGATTGTACTTGCCGGAGAAGGCATAACTTCCCCCACTTAAAGCTAAAATACCGAACTAGAGAAGCACTGCTGCGGATCAACATGCAGAGTCAGTCACTTATTATTTTTTTTTTTTAAAGCACTCTTTTGCCAAGGATAGCTATTGCACTACCAATTGGTCAGTCATGCCGCCAACACTCGTGTGTCTCCAGGATGCCGGCGGCTACTGCTATGGAAACGACCCCCACCACTCCCTGGGCTAGTGCTGCTGGCTTGGTCCTCGGGGTTTACCTAAGTGAGAGCCTCGGGGATGGGTTGAAGAGCTCTCCACAGACCATGACGGATAAGTGACAGTCTGTGTGCACTTCTAGGCAGGAGGAGTGGCAGTGGAATCTCACACATCATTTATTTGAAATAAAGACTAAGTCCTTCTATGTGCACAAACCCACACCCACACCCACACCCTCACTTCGCAGAGTTACAGGAGAATAGAAGGGCCGAGTGGGAGCCAGTAGTTGAGGGCTGTGGGTTGGTTAAAAGATTGGCACACTAGGGCGGGCCTGTCAGTGGCCTTTGCTTTGTGAAGTGGAACCAATGCCACAAAGGAACTGCATGGGTATTTCATCTGTCTAGATATCTGCTTCTAGGTTCAGCGGGACCGTCACTGAAAACAGGAGCACCATTCTTGGGACATAAAAAAAGTGAGGGAGAGATCTTTCGGGTAAGTAATACGTTAAAAGAACAAGTAAAAAAATAAAAAGCCAACAGCAGGTGTGGCATCTCTGGTATGCGAAACAATTCTAGAAAATGCTCAAGGCAGTTCCTAAGATAAACCGTGAGGGAGCTTGGGGCAGCAGCAATAGCAGAGCCAGAGGGCGGGGCCGAGCCACAGAGCAGCTCTCACTCTCGGGTTATCCACCCTGGCTTGCGGCGAGCCGCTTGTGCTAGGAGACCAGGCCCCGTGCTGTACAAGGGGACTCATCCAGGCACCGCCTTCCACGTGGTGCTGCTGTCTGGTTACCCAGCGAAGCCCAAGATGACAACCACAGGCAAGCCACCCTCTTTCCCTTTACCCTAAACAGATGAACTATGCCTTAGCGTTGGTTTTCCACAAGCAGAAGTTGAAGACCTCTGAATGGGAAAAGTGAGGAATAACACGCTGGCTTCCGCGTCGCGAATGTTGTGTGGTCAGATTATGGAGCGCTGAGAGGAAGCTTTGCTTCCTGGCACTGCACTGGATCTCGATGCTTCTGAAGTCTCTTGGAGTTTGAGATGTGTTGGATAGTCTTTGCACCGAGAGTGACCTGGGACAACAGGGTCAGGCTCTGGGCAGCGCTGTCCTCTTTCCTAACCCACAAGGCTCCCTAAGAGCTCCCTTTCCTTTCACCGCCTCGCAGGTCAGGCAGAAGGGGCCCTGCGGCCACTCTCCACCCCCTCTCCTCCCAGCTCGGCAGCTCACAGGTGAGGCACTTGACCCTTTTGCACTCCTGATGCCTGGGACTGAAACCTCCTGCTGGACAGATACAGCGCAGCAAATCCCCAGGTGGGACATCTGCTTACTGAGGTGTCACTGGTGTGCACCCGTCCCTGGCCCCTCACATACACCTGGTCACATGGTCCACTGGTACGCAGCTTGCTTCGATGGAAACAGAAAACTCCGCAGAAGTGGTTGTTTTGAGAAACCCACTTCTCCCTCCCGAATGCCAACACTTGTGGCGTGGCACTCATCTCAAGCCAAGCGCGGGGCACACGCCGGGCTAACCAGCCCACACTGCTTTGGAAGGGACTCACCTCTTGGGTGCAGCTCAGAAAGTGGCCGACACTAGCCGACTACCTGCACCGCAAGCACCCCCACGTCAGCATCAAACCACCTAGACGCACGTTTACCGAGCACCTACTGTGTGCAGGATAAGGTACCAGGTCCCCTTTTCCCCTTTTTATGATGTGGGCTAAGCTCAAACTAGAAAGGAGCTGGACTGAGTGTGGGGTGTGTGTGTGTGTGCGTGCCCATTGCACACACACGGGTAGATACGGGTGTTAAGGAAGATTGGATGGGATATCTGGCTTTGAGTTGCGTCTCCCCCACCCCTCATCTAAACTGGGTGTGTCTGGTTTGGCAAATTGTGGGCAGTTCTGTTACTCTTGTCCCCTCCCCACTCCAAGGCTTCCTCAGACCAAAGGAAACAGGCTCCTTGGCAAGCAGCCCCTCCCCAAGCCTGACACCACCCCTCTCCCCGGCTGGCTCCGCGGCTGGCTCCTGCAGTGCGCCCAGCCTCCCCCACCCCCGCGTGAAGACCTGAGATTGAGCGTGGGTTTCTGTTCTCCACCAACTCTGCAGCAAGGGCCCTGCCAGAGGCGGCGCTTCCTGCCGTCTTCCCGCTCCCAAGTAGAGGCACCTAGACAGAGATTCGGTTTCCGGTTTCAAGGCAAGTCGAACCAAGCACGCTGGATGAACACGAGTCCGTCAGTCAGCTGGGCCTCGCTTGCTTCCGTTGCCAGGTCTCAACGTTCCTCGGTGGCGAAGCGGCCAGGAGACGGTCGATTTGCATCTTAAGACCTACGGGTAACGCTTCTGGAGTGGGGAGTTTTATTTAGCAACTGCTTGAGCTTGTGTACGGGGTCGGGAAGGAGGTGGAGCTGACCCCAATAGGGCTTTCGGAGAGTGGGGCGTGAGTGGTGCCCACCGCCACGCTGACGCCCCGGGCCTCCAGGACGGCAGACAGCAGCTGCTGCTGCTGCTGGCGCAGGGCGTCGGCGATGAGCAGGGGCAGGGAGTGGAAGCTGGCCGTCAGGTGCTCCAGCTTGGACTCCAGGCTGCCGATCTGCTTCTCCAGGTCCTCGCTGCGATCACTGAGTTCCGTGATCAGGTCGTACATGACATTCTGCATCTGTGTGCGGGGACACAGGACGGAGGGACAAGACGACAGGTCAGCGCGGGAAAGCTGAGCGCGCCCTGCGTCACGGGGGAGTGACGTCCGCACCTGCCTTGTCTGATCTGGCCGGGGAAGGAGGGACCAACGTCCTTTCTGGGAGATGGGGCGGCTGAAGGGGCACATTTTTTTCTTTCTTATTATAAAAAACAATGTGTCCTAATTACACAGTGTTATTAGAAATCCTGTATGGACTGCGTGTTCTCTGTCGTTTGTGGGAGCTCAATGGTTGATCTAAAAGCACAAAGAGTAGAATGGTGAGGGGCTGAGACGAGCAGGGCAAAGAGAGAGGGGGCTGAAAAGAGGCATTCATTCCCCCAGGTAGCCGGCGGGAAGGTGCTTCAGCCACCCCGGGGTGAGGGGAGGTGTGGGGAGCAACTCGGACTAGACTAAGTTACTGGAATTAAGACTTATTCTATGCATCTGCTCTCCCACAATATGGCGCTGGGAGAGGAGGAAACAGCTTCTACACAGCTGCCTCCAGTTCAACCAATAAACTGTGGGACCTGCTCCTGATTGGAGGAGAGCAGCGTACTTGGCGTGTGGGTAGCAGAGTTGGGATTGGTGGAAGAGGACTATAAAGGAGGAGAGAGACAACATGCACCAGGAACATCTATCTGAAGGAACACCTGTGCAGCCCCCAAGAGAGCTGGCCGGCGGTGTGCCGCTCCCCCGCGGAAGTGGGGAAAGTGGCAGGGGGAACCGCCCTTCCATGGAGGTGGAAGGGACGGTAGCCAACCCGGGAAGAACCAGCAGCAAACCCGGGGAGGGCCGAGCAGACAAAAGAACAGCGCAGGGTCCTGTGTCGTTCCTCCACGAAGACGGGGAGCGACATAATGGTGCTGTGACTCGGATATGAAGCCTAGGCAGGGTTTAGTGTCGTTCCTCCACGAAGACGGGGAGCGACAGGGAGGCTGCAGTTCTCAACAACCTCCTGCATATTTGGGGAGAACCAGGAGGGCTCTCCAACATGAGATACAGGAGGGGAGGTGTTGGGTGCAGCAGTGGAGAGGCTTCTAGAGCTCTCAGAGGGCGTGGGTTCGAGTCCTGGCTCTGCTTCAGATCCAGCTTCCTGCTGATGACCACCCTGGGAGGCTGCGGGTGATGGCTCCAGTGGTTGGCTCCCTGCCACTCACGTAGAGAACCTGCACTGAGTTCCCAGCTTCTGGCTTCATTTGGGGAGTGAACCAGTAGATGACAGCTCGCTCTCCCTTTCTCTCTCCCCCTCTCCCTCTCCCTCCCCCCTCCCTCTCCCTCCTCCCCCCTCCCTCTCCCTCACTCTGTGTCTTTCTGCCTTTTAAATAGATCAAATAAACAAAAATTTAAATATAAGAAATGATAATAAGATGGCAATGCTGGTTACCCTGATTGATCAGTTATTAAAACATCACACAATTCCCTGCAGGTACAAGGTGTCTTCAAACAGTTTATGGAAAACATTGAAAAAAAAAATGCATGGATTTCAAAATTTTTTGCACCAAAATAAATTGATCTTTTAATCCAAATTTTCTTTTTTTCTTTCTCTCTCTCTCTTTTTTTTTTGTTTTGTTTTGTTTTGTTTTTGTTTTTGGACAGGAAGAGTTACAGAGAGAGAGAGAAAGGTCTCCTTCCATTGATTCATCTCCCAAATGGCTGCCATGGCAGGCACTGTGCCGATCCAAAGCCAGGAACCAGGCACTTCCTCCTGGTCTCCCCACTTGAGTGCAGAAGCCCAAGCACTTGGGCCATCCTCCACTGCACTCCTGGGCCACAGCAGAGAGCTGGCCTGGAAGAGGAGCAACTGGGACCAGAATCTGGTGCTCATATGGGTTGCCGGCGCCGCAGGTGGAGGACCAACCAAGTGAGCCACGGCGCCGGCCCCTTAATCCAATTTTCCATAAACTTTTTGAAGTACCCTCATATGTACAATTAAAGTTAAAAATCTTTTAATTTAAAAAAAGAGGGGCGCAGTAGGTTAATCCTCCGCCTGTGGCACCGGCATCCCATATGGGCGCTGGTTCTAGTCCCAGCTACTCCTCTTCCAATCCAGCTCTCTGATATGGCCTAGGAAAGCAGTGGAAGATGGCCCAAGTGCTTGGGCCCCTGCACCCACATCAGAGACCCGGAAGAAGCTCCTGGCTCCTGGCTTCGGATCGGCACAGCTCTGGCCATTGCGGCCATTTGGGGAGTGAACCATCGGATGGAAGACACCTTTCTGTCTATAACTCTACCTCTCACATAAATAAATGCAATCTTTAAAAAAAAATAAAATAAAAAAGAGAAAGTATAGTGTAAAGGAGAAGGAGCAGCTCCTTTGCCTTCAGAGATGCTCCAACCTGTCCCCGTGCTCTTATCGCACACGGGCTGCTGGCACCTAACGAGTCAACAGCAGACACCGGCGGGGAGCGGACAATGCAGCAGACTCATAATTAGCAGGCCGGGTTCAAGTGCAAGTCTGCAGCTCACTAACCATGTGCCCTCTGTCAGGCCACTTAACCTTTCTCAACCTTGGCCTCCTTATAAAATTGGAGTTAATCATAGCCACACACACTTATGAGTTACTGGCCCTCCCCACCCCCTGGCTTCAACTCAGCAGCCAGAACGTAAAATATAATTGACTTCTTGGGCGCAATCCTCAGCCAAAAGGAGCTGCCTCGCCAAGGGATGGCCCTCTCCTCCCTGGGCAAGGCGCAAGGCGCAAGGGCAAGGCCATGGCCACAGCCATGCTGCCTGATACAGGGCACCCCGGGAAGACCCTGCTGTCCGGCCAAGGCCCTTGTGGACTGGATCACAGCTGAAGCCAAAGGGTCTTCTGACCGATTCTGCCCCCTGCTGCCCCAGGAGCCCTCCTGCTCTCAGCAGTATGCCAGGGCTCGTGCCCCAGACACCCCACAGCCTCTGAGTGGGTGTGCACATCCTGGTCCACATGGCAGTCATCTCTCCTAGCAAACTCAGCAGGGCCACCCAGGCTGTGGACACAGACCCAGCAGCGAGCCACACACAGGCTCCGTGGAGGCAGCCCCAGGGCCCCAGGCTGGTGCAGCTTGATCAGAGCCCCTGCCCGTCCCCCCAAGCCAGAGCGCTGCGGCTCTTAGGGCTGCTGGTGAGCTGCCAGGGACTCCCGCTCCTATTCTCCCTGAAATTTCAAGTTACTCCAGGAAGGTGTGAGAACTGTCGGTGTTCCCAGGGGCCAAAGGCAGCCAGAAATACAGCAAGAGAAAAACACAGGCGGAAAAGAAGGTGGCAAAATACACGAAGCCAGAGGCGGGGAGGGGTCTGAACACACCACACGTTGCCAGCTGACCACATGCCCCATGGGGAATTCACTGGGCCAGCACAAGGGGTGGTAGGAGGACAGCGCCTGTCCCATGAGCTCCGTCAGTGCCAAGGCTGGACACTTCCTGAGGACGCCCTGGAGGATGGGGGGACTTCTTCACTAGCGAACGGGCACCGGCCCTCCGGGAGGTGCACCCATGTGTGATCACGGGGCTGCCCTGGCGAGGTCGGGCTCGGAGGGCAGGCCCCAGCACTGGTGTGTGTGCCAGCTGCCCGGCCTTGGGAAGATCACTCATCCCATCTGACGTTCCCAGTCAGAACTGCCATTTGTAAAACCTTTGTAGTTGACAAAGCGTCCTCTGATTTCAGCACAGGAGCCTGGGATGGAAGCGATTATTTTTCACGTCGGGATGGAGGGATGGAAACAACCGGATGCAGGCCAGCCCCTCCAGGCTCCATCACGCTCCTAGGTAGTGATTCAGAATGGAACGACTATGCGGAGGCCACGCCCCAGATTCCTAATCTAGGGGGGACCAAAGGATTGGGGTGGGGAGGGGGTGAAGTGGAAGTACAGAGAAGGAGCAGGGAGCAGGCAGTGTGATTGCCCTTGCTCTGTTGCCTGGTGACGGGGTGGGGGGGGCAGGTGGGAGGGGCCAATGTGAAATGTGCTAGGCTGCTGCCTGGGCCTTGGGCCAGTCTCCTGGGAAGGACAGGGCTCACCTCCTCTCCAGCCCTCCAAGCCTGTCCCCCCAACAATGCTCTGCAGGATCTTCTCTTAACCCTTTCCTGCACACTCCTCCTGGGCAGCTAACGGCTCCCCAGGTGGCGAGAGCACCTCTCCTGCTGTCTGAGGGTTTGCTTCACACGCCCTCCCTGCTCTGCGGGGTCCCCTCTCTCTGAAAGGCCTGGGGGGAGCACTTCAGAAAGGCAGCCCGCACAAAAGCTGGCCATGCCCAGAATTCCCGTGTGACAGAGGTGGCACAGCACTCACTGCTGCTCTTGGAAGGAGCACTTGGGGCCGGCGCTGTAGTGCAGCCACTTAAGCCACTGCCTCTGATGCCAGCATCCCTGTGAGTGCTGGTTCGAGTCCCACATGCTCCACTTCCCATCCAGCTCCTTGCTGGTGTGCCTGGGAAAGCAGCAGAAGATGGTCTGAATGCCTGAATGCTTTGGCCATGCTGTCTATGTGGGAAACCCGGATGGAGTTCCAGGCTCCTGGCTTTGGCCTGCCCCAGCCATTGCAGCCATTTGGGGAGTGAATCAGCAGTTGGAAGATCTCTCTCTCCCCCTGCCCTCCTTCTCTCTCTCTGTAACTGCCTTTATAAATCTTTCAAAAAAGAAAAAGAAGGAACACCTTTAAGGGCTTTGCATTGGGCCATTCCTAAAGCTCACAGGATGGGCCCCCAGACATTCTTGTCCTATATAACCTTCACAGTCACAGCTGATTGGCCCAGGGGTGGGCACATGTCCCATACTGGCCAATCATCTCATCTCTTCTGAGGCTTTACTATTAAGACCAGGGGCAGGCTCTGGCGTGGCAGGTAAGGTGGTGCTTGGGACGCCCACACCCCGCATCAGAGGATGTGCGTCCAAGTCCCATTGTGCTCCCACTTCCAGCCTCCTGCTGACACACGCCTGAGAGGCAGCGGCGATGGCTCAAGTGGCTGGGTCCCTGCGTCCACATAGGAGGCCTGGATGGAGTCCTCAGCTCCTCACTTCAGCCTGGCCCAGCCCTGGCTGTTGTGGGCAATTGGGCAGTGAATCAGCAGATGGGAGCTCTCTCTTTCTCTGTCTCTGACTTTCAAATGAAGAGAAACAGAAGTCTTTACCTGTGGCTAAAATATAATACACCTCTCTGCGCTGGAGAGAGGTGGCACAGAGGGCCGCGGGAGGGAGGTGAAGCAGGCACGTGGACAGGAGGGGGCGAGGCAGGGGAGGCTGCGCCCCAGGCCGGTGCTGGCCAGTCCTCTCCTGGAGCCCCACTTTGAGGGGGGCTGCTTTGAGGTCCTGCCTAGAGAGAGGCCCCCTCATACCCTTAGGATGAATTCCTCAGTTTTCAAACCCAGGCACAGTGCATTCTCTTCTGAAGAGATGAGATGATTGGAACCCCCACCCCAGGCCTCCCTGCAGCAGCGAGTCCTGCCCGCCTCCCCACCCCAGCTCTCAGGAATCCGGCGCTCCACCTGAGCATCCCGCCGCGCCCCCAGCCTTCTCCCCGCGTGCCAGGCCCCTTGCTGCCCGGCTGCGGTGCTCACAGGATCACGAGGCCCTTTCCTGGGCTCCATCCCCCTCCTGAATGCACCACTCGCACATGGCCCCCACCCAGGCATCTCTGATTGCTCCCTCTCTTCAGAGAGAGTGGATTTGCTCACTGCCAGGGTGTTCTGCCAGCCCAGCCCCGGGGATCCACCCTGGCCTCACAATTTCTATCTAGAGGCAGCGGGGAGAAGGCGCCACGGAGGGGGAGGCCCGTTCTGCAGTGGCGCCACCCCTGGGCTCCGCGGGCAGTGCAGACTTCAGGTCCTTCTGCTGCGGGGCTCACAAGAGAAGCGACTTCTAGATGGTGCTTACTGGGGTTCGGTGCCACAAACATGGGGTGGCCCAGGCTCCCAAGGGAGGGCTCTCTTTTCCAGCGTCCTCGAGCTCATCACAGGCTGCCCCCCCCCCCCAGGAAGTAAAGCAAGGCGCCCCCACCACCGTCGCATATCTGGGCCCGGAAGAACTTGGTTGTGAGGATGCAGGGCAGTGGATTCCCAATGACACTGGCAAAGCGCAAGGTTGGGAGGCGGACCTCGGCGCCCGCCCAGCGGGACGTGACCCCCTCAGGACCGGTGCTCGTCAACATGCCCCGCCCCTGAGCAAGCTCCTGCTCACCCTGAGGAGCCCTCAAGGCAGAGCCAGTGAAAGAAGATCCTCAGAAGAATGAGCAGGCCGGCTACCTCATCCCAGCAAAGAGCAACCTGAGCTGGTTCACGTGAGAAGCAAATGCCAGGTGTTACAACACAAGAAGGTCCACTGGTAGGCTGCAGATGTAACACATCTGAACCTAGAGCGACACTCTTAACAATTTATTTGAAAGGCAGATGGACAGAGAGAAGTCTTCCATTTGCTGGTTCACTCCCCACATGCCTGCAGCAGCTGGACAGACGGAAGCTGGGAGCCGGGAGCTCTGTCCGGGTCTCCCGGGTGGGTGACAGGGACCCAAGCACTTGATCGATCACCTGCTGCCTCCCAGAGTGCGCAGTAGCAGGGAACTGGGTCAGAAGCAGAGCTGGGCCTCGGACCCAGGCGCTCTCCTGGGGATGTGGGTGTCCCAAGGGGCAGTTTACTTGCCGCACCGAATGTCTGTCTCTCAGATTGTTATTTAAAGATTCATTTATTTGAAAAGCAGAGTGACAGAGAAAGAGGGAGAGACAGAGCGATCCACCCGCTGGTTCACTTTCCAAACAGCCTCAACAGCGAGTTCTGGGCCAGGCTGAAACCGGGAGCCAGGATCTCCATCTTGGTCTCCTAGCGGGAAGCTTGGATGGAAGTGGAACGGGCAGGACTTGAACTCAGCTCTCCAGAATGGGATGCCAGCACCATAACTGGTGGCTTGCCCCGCTGCACCACAATGCTGGCCCCCTGTGGATTACTTTTAACCAAGGAGGAATCGCTGTTTGCTTTCCTGGCACCTGAGAAGTCCAGATGCCAGCGTCGGAGAACTCTTTAGGGAGTCTGCCAGTCCTACCACTCACCTTGGAAAGGTCTACGAGGGTGTTGGCTTGGTCACTCAGCTTCCTCTGCTCCATCTTGACGCTCCTCAGTCTGCAGGGAAGAGTTGTGACAGCCACACCCTGTGAGTCCGTGCTAAGGTTCAGCCCCACCAGCCAATTCTACAGCCCCATCAATCACTCGATGGTGAAACCTGGCATTGGGAACTTGAACACAGGAAACTGACAGAGCCAAGGTCCCCGGGCAAGCCAGCGCTTGTCGCCACGTATGCCTGCTCGCATCACTTTCATTTCCTTGCCTTTCTCAGGTCACCGCCTGCCTTCCCGGCCTTTGCCCAGGCTGTGCCTCCCATATTGGATGCTCTGCTTGCAGCCCGGAAAAGGGTCTCCCAGACCCCCAAGTCAAAACCAGTGTTTTCATCCTGTGCTTCTCCATTACACTGAGAAGTGTTTCCTCTCCCAGAGAAAATGTCAGATGATTTTGATTGGTATTGCCATGCCTGGTGCATGCATGTGGGTCTGTGTGTCTGTGTGTATGTGCATATGTGTCTGTATGCCTTTGTGTCTGTGTGCATGTGTGCTTATGCATGCATTGCACATGTGTCTCTGTGTGCACACATGTCTGCATGTGTACATGCCTGTCCTGTGCAGTGCATACACGCATGTGTCTGTGCACATGTGCACACGTGTCTGTGTGCATGTGTCTATGTGTACGTGCACACATGTCTGAGTACACATGTGCGAGTGTGTGCATATGTGTCTGCACGCATGTGTCTGTGTATGTCTGTGCAGAAGCTCAAAGGCTCTCTACATCTCTCCTGCAGCCGCAGGGGTGCCCCTAGGTTGGCCGTGGCCCTGGCATACTCACTGGTGGATAGCCTGGAGGAACTTCCTCTGGTGCTTCCTGACCTTGGCGTGGTCAATCTTCTTCAGCAGCTTCGTGTGTTTATAGATGAGCCACGTTTCCCGCAGGACGTTGGCTGCAGCGTTCTTGATCTACGGAACAGTAAATAACGCAGCCTGCTATCAGGTTAATTGTCTTGGGTTCCCGGAACAGGCTTTTCATGCCTGCTGCTGCAGCTAGCGCGTAAGGCAACGCTGCTGTGGCGTTCTCCTTTTTCATCAAAATCATGGAAGTCCTAGAAAAGGTGATGAAAATACATCTCTTATTAATCCTCTCCTGGCCCCAGCAGAGCAGAGCGTGGAGAGCAGGCGTGCATCTATTCCCCTTCCTTAATGATTTCAGCACCGCCTCCCAGCTGCCGTTGCCAGTGATATATTTAGACAGGTGGCATTAGCGAGCCCTGGAGCCCCGGCTACCTTCTGGGTAGGTAAGTAGAAGCCACCGCTGCCCAGTCAGATCCACAGCTCCCTGCATTCCCTGAGACCCCCAGTCAGCGCCCAGGGTACCTTTCTTGGATGGAGAGCGGGAACAGATTTCCTACCAGTGGAAGATTTTAAAAGGCTTTCTTGCAAGAAATGTCTTTCCCACCAACTGGAACTCTGGGGAGCTGCGAGTCTGCTGCTTCCTTCCCCGAACAGCCAAAAACATTCACGCTGCAGTTTCGCATGTAAATGGAATTGGCATCAAACCGAACGCGTTCTGAAGCCCTGTCTGACAAGCGGCGAAGAGTGTTAGGTGTGGAACCAGAGCTGCCTGTCTCCCAAGGCTGGCTCCTCGGCTGCGCACCGCACGCACTCGGCACTCGCTTCCACAGACCCTGCTGTCACCTGTTGACATGGAAACCACCGCCGTCCCCCGGCTCACGGCGGAGCGGAGACACATCAGTGGCTTCCAGATGGCAGGGGACAAAGTTTGAAGCCAAACACAGACATCTTCAGCAATTAGCAAGGCGAGCGAGCGAAAACATTCCTTATGCAGCACAAGCTCAACAGATCTGTGATGCCCCAGCCCCACCGCCGGCAGCCGCGCACGCTGGCGCAGGTCCCCGCGCCTGGGCCCGGAGGTGCGGCGGCCAGGCCAGCGGAACTCAGCTGACTCGCCAGAAAGGGTTTTAGTCACACTGCAGAGTCCAGACCCGCTTCCTCAGACTGACACCGACAGATGGGACGTTGTTAAAACGCTGAGACGTGTGGGAAGGCCTAGGCTGATAACTTGTGTGTGTATGTGTGTGTGTGTATGTTTTAAAAAATTTATTACTGAGGCTGGATTATATTTTTCATTGGCGCTGAAGTGATGTTTTTAAAAGAACAGCTAAGTCTTCTCAGAAATGTCTAAGTGACATAAATATTGCTTTTTTGTTCAGTAAAAACCCACTGTGAACATGCTTCTAAAGGGCTTAATTGCCCACCCCTGGGACTTTGCTGCCTGAAAGGAAGCAGGTGGCCGTGAGCAGACACTGAAACAGTGGGCGTGCGGCGAGCAGGCAGCGGCAGGCACGGGGAGGGTGGGCCATGGGGGAACCCGGGCCGCAGTGTGCAGCGGCCCCCTGGCGAGGGAGGTGGCCCTGAAGGGAAGCCTCTGTCCCCGTGGAAGCCGTACCACCGAGAGGGCCACGCTGCCACGGGGCTTCTTCAACCTCCCAGAGCTCCTCCCAGAGAGCCAGCAGGAGACACCCCGGCCCAGCTTCCACGCTCGGCAAAGGTCGGGCTCCACAGGCCTCCTCCCCGGATGCTGAGAGAGCCACGCGGCATCACAGCGGACAGGCCCGGGACCGTGGCCGTGGTGTTGGTGTGGAGCACACACGTGAGGCTGGGAAGCCTTGGGGTGACTCTGTTCTGTGAGGTAGTTGGCATTTTCAGAGCGAATGCTTCATTGTCTAGAGTGTGGGAAAAAGCAGGCCCTACCCTAAGGGTTGTGGTGGGGCCCAGACTAGGCCACGTTGGTGCAGCAGACAGAGCTGAGGGTAATGGCCAGCATTTGCCAGGGGCCAGGCAAGAGATCTGAATACTTCCTCTGTATCAAGTCACTCATCCATTCCTCAGGGCAACCCTATGGGGCAGCTGCCACTATTGTTCCCATTTCACAGATGAAGCAACTGAGGCACAGCCCAAGTCGGGCAAGCTGAGTCAACATGGATTGGAGTGCTATACAAATTGTAGAGCACTGCACAGATACTGGCTGTCATCTAGCCCACAGCCACCTCCCCCCACCGCCTTTGGAATCAGGAGACAAGGGTTTCAGAGCTGGGCTGCGAGGCCAGAATCACACAGCTAGCTAATGGCAAAGTCAAAACAAGAGCCAGGGCCCCGCAGCACATAAGGTTTTCCCAGGGTCTGAAGGAAGACCTGATGACATTTCATCTCACACAGACAAAATGACTTCCTGTTTTCCAGGATCCAGGAATTGGAAAGGAGCTCAGAATTTATTTCCTTAGTCATCACGGCCCTCACTTAGCCACGTGACAGAACACAGAGTCCAGCTCTCGCACTTAACTCCAGCCCAAAGGGAACGCGCAGAAGCCACGGCGCGGCGCGGGCAGCTGGGAGAGGCCGTCGCGTCATCGCTACAGGTTTGAACAGGAGGCCCCTGTGTATCTGGAAAGTGAAGTTAAATGCAAGCCCTGTGCTGACCCCGAAATTAATTGCCAGCAAATGGCCTGGCACAAAGCTAAGTGGATCAATATCTGCAAGAGAAAAAGAAATAGGCTTTTAACTGCACGGCGCCTTCTCCGGTGGACAAGGCTGTTGTGTCCTGGGTCTCCCGCCAATTCACCTGGCTCATTGCTCTGAGCATCACCGGAGTGGGGCGCACACGAGGTCACGCGTCCCTCCTGGCATGTGTGGGGCCCCTGCACGGCCCCGTGCACCCTTCCTGGGAGCTTTCCAGGTGGGCAGGGGACACCAGGCCGGAAAGAGGCTCCCAGGGTGCGGGAGTGGGAGGGGCGGGGCTCGGGATGGGGGCAGCACACTGGCAAGGCTGGCGCGGACAGGACAGGTTCAGAAGGCTTCAGGGTCATTTGTGTGCGGGAGGCCAACTGCCTCCCCCTCCCTCAGACCCCCATAAGCTCTTGATCTGATTGCTTCCTGGGGGGTCCATTAACTCCCTCCCCCCCAAAACGGATGTTTCCACTCTGATGGGGGCCAGAGCCTGGGCTCTGTGGCCCACGACCTTTGGGGACGGCCGGGAGACCCCCAGGCCTGGGCAGGATCTTGCAAAGCACAGTGGTGGTGGAGAGCTACTGGATGTTCACTCTGTGGCAGGCCCTGGGCGGGACACTTGGGTCTCCGTTGTTTCATTAACCCCCAGAAAACCCTGACAAGTCGGTGGGATCCTGGGCTCCACCCGGCACCCATCACGGAACCGAGGCTCACTTTGCTCAGGAGTTCATGGAAAGCATCAGACACTGTTGCCAACAGTGAACATGCTCTGATGGACAAGCCCCTGGCATTCCTGCCCACAGGAAGTTTATGGTCTTGGGCTGGGGGTGGGGGTGGTGCACATGGGATGCAGGTTGCAACACTGTACCAGGCCATCAGTGCTTCAAAGGAACATGAAGGCAGGCGCAGGGCTAGAGAGTGCACATGTGCTGCGGAGTTGTTGGGCTGGTAAATGAGAACACACTCCCAGCAGCAGCAGGGAGCCTGGGTGCCCTGCACCTCCATCCCCTGCCCCCAGGACATGTCAGCTTCTTTCTCCCCCCTCAACAAGAGGAAACAGCAGAACACACGTCTGTTCCCTGAGCTCTTGGCCCAGTGTCCCAGGCCAGTGGCAGGCTCTGGCCACCTCTCTGCCACTCAGTATGACAGGGGCCCTGTGAGTTGCAGGAGGAAGCTGGAGAGGGGTGGAAGGAGCTGCCTTCCGGGGTACCCCCACGTGTCCAGCAGCCTCGGGGCGCCTTGGAGAGTAATTCCAGAAGCCCCGCTGGCAGACCCCCAGGAAGAAACCACTGGAGCTGTGCCCAGGAAGGAGTGCCCTGCCTGGGGGTTGCCTGGGGGAGAAGGGGGCCCAATCAGGGCTGGACCACTCCAAGCAGTTACACAGTTGAACCGGGACAGCCTGAGCGATGGTAAACATGGCAATCGCAGAGCCAGCCGGCCAGCCCTGTCTTCAGACGCCCACGGTGCACTCTGCACACAGGACTGGGGAGGGGGCTTGGCTGCCTCCCCATCTGCCAGTGCAGAGTTCCTGCGGCTTCCCACGGTCGTCTTCTTTCATACCCTGCTTACCCCACCTCTCCTACTTCCCCATTGCATCCCACACTTCTGCCTCACCAGGAGCCCCCTCTGCGCTGGGAACTGGGGACTCTGCCCTGTGTCGGGCAAGGAACTGTGGCGAGGCCAGAGGTGTTTCTGTGGTTCCCAGTGTGGTAGCGAGCGGCAGGTCGCTCTATAATCCGTTCCGGGGATGCTCTGGCTCTTCTCGCTGCAGGCTGGGACCGCAGCCACAGGGATAGTTCCAAGGAACTGACTGCCCAGGTAAGCCCCCTCCCCGTAAGGCTAGAGAAGCTGCCTGCTAGCCTGGGGACAGACGGGCTCCTGGGTGGGATCTGCCCTGACACACCCAGCCGGGCTCATCCTGGGCCCTCTCCGGTCTCAGCGTTGTCGTCTGGGCTGGACTGGCTCAGCCCTAAGTGTCCTTCCAGCTCCATTGCACGGTGTTCCGTGACGGTGTTTAAAGGAAGACTGCGCCCAATCCGTCTGGGACGGAACCCTGGCGGCTGATAGAATTTACAGTCCTCTCTCAGGGAGAATTAGCATTTCTGATTTTTTTTTTTTTTTTGACAGGCAGAGTGGACAGTGAGAGAGACAGACAGAGAGAGAAAGGTCTTCCTTTGCCGTTGGTTCACCCTCCAATGGCCGCCGCTGCAGCCGGCGCACCGTGCTGATCCGATGGCAGGAGCCAGGAGCCAGGTGCTTTTCCTGGTCTCCCATGGGGTGCAGGGCCCAAGCACCTGGGCCATCCTCCACTGCACTCCCTGGCCATAGCAGAGAGCTGGCCTGGAAGAGGGGCAACCGGGACAGAATCCGGCGCCCCGACCGGGACTAGAACCCGGTGTGCCGGCGCCGCAAGGTGGAGGATTAGCCTATTGAGCCACGGCGCCAGCTAGCATTTCTGATTTTAACCACTTAATTGATTATCTGATAAATGTTAAAGAGATAAAGACATGTTCTGGGAATCTACTGGTGGCCAGCCAGCTGTGGGTCGCCGGCGAGTGCACGCTGGCCTCACTCTTCATCTCTGCCACAGCAACGGCCACTGCTGTTTTGCCCACAAAATGCCTCTCCTTTTATTTTTTTTTGACAGGCAGAGTGGATAGTGAGAGAGAGAGAGAGAAAGGTCTTCCTTTTGCCGTTGGTTCACCCTCCAATGGCTGCCGCGGCCAGCGCATCGCGCTGATCCGAAGCCAGGAGCCAGGTGCTTTTCCTGATCTCCCATGGGGTGCAGGGCCCAAGTACTTGGGCCATCCTCCACTGCACTCCCTGGCCACAGCAGAGAGCTGGCCTGGAAGAGGGGCAACCGGGAAAGAATCCGGTGCCCCAACCGGGACTAGAACCCAGTGTGCCGGCGCCGCAAGGAGGAGGATTAGCCTGTTGAGCCATGGCGCCGGCCAAAATGCCTCTCCTAAGAGTAACCTTTGAATCAACATGCAGAAAAGTTTTTTTTTTTTCCTAGTATGATAAAACTTTGACATATGTTCATGATTAAAGAAAAATTTGGGGTGCAGTGTTGTGATCTGGTGAGTTAAGCTGTCACTTATGGCACTGCCTTCCCACATCAGAGTACAAGTTCAAGTCCCAGATACTTCGCACTTCTGATCCAGCTCCCTGCTAATGTGTCTGGGAAAGCAGCAGATGATGGCTCAAGTACTTGGGCCCTTGTACCCACATGGGAGACCTGGATTGAGTTCCTGGCTCTTGGCTTTGGTCTGGCCCAGGCCTGGCTGTTGCAGCCATCTGGGGAGTGAATCAGTGGATGGATTATTGTCTTTATGTCCTTTTGCCTTTCAAATAAATATATAAATTTTTTTTTGGACAGGCAGAGTTAGACAGCGAGAGAGAGAGAGAGAGAGAGAGCGAGAAAGGTCTTCCTTCCGTTGGTTCACCCCCGCAAGTGGCTGCTATGGCCGGCACATTGCAGCCGGCGCGCTGTGCTGATCCAAAGCCAGGAGCCAGGTGCTTTCTCCTGGTCTCCTATGTGGGTGCAGGGCCCAAGGACCTGGGCTATCCTCCGCTACACTCCCTGCCACAGCAGAGAGCTGGACTGGAAGAGGAGCAACCAGGACAGAACCGGCGCCCCAACTGGGACTAGAACCCAGGGTGCTGGCGCCGCAGGCGGAGGATTAGCCTATTGAACCGCGGCGCCAGCCTAAATATATAAATCTTTAAAGGAAGATTTTTAATTTTTTTTTTTAGCACTGTTGAATAGGTACTGAGGGTTGAGGCGGGTGGCATCAAGGTTTTTGAGCCTTGTTCAGGGCTACATCTGAGGTCCATAGGGAAACCATGTGCAGGATGACAGGGCAAGAGGCCCCCAGGCGAGGGTCAGTCTACAAGGCCCTTGTGCCTGCGAAAGGCTGGCAGAGCCGCCGCGGGGCTGGTGTGCACCGACAGACACAGCAAGCTCCAGTCCGGCCCGGCAAGTGCTCAGGTCCCAGGGCACAGACGGGTCCGAGGTAGCGCTCAGTCTTTAGTGTGGGAGACAGGAACAAGGGCATCGTCACAGCAGACCAGGGAAGTCCGGGCAGGGGACTCGTTTAGAACAGGTATGAGTTTGGCTTTGGTCTCGCTCAGTGATTTTTGTGGGATGTCACTGGGACAAAGTAGGGCCAGGAAGCTTTGCAGCAAGGAGGAGGAGGGATGACCTGGGCCAGGTGCACAGACCTCCTGCCCATGATGCCTCTGAAATGCCTCTCTGAGGGCAGCCGGTCCTCAGAGGTTAAGTGTCAGAACGAGGACCTGCTCTTACCTTCGTGGTGCCCCCCGGGAGTGACCTCCGCGGTGGGCATGTTTGCTTCTATGAAACAGACACACGGGGACATGGAGCACTGGGGGGCAGAAAGGGTGGGCTCTAGGCTGCTTTTTACAGTCTTTGTCGTTTACTGATACTTCATCTGGGAGCCCAGAGGTTAGCAATAAGTTACAATTATAGAATAACCACGGCAGTGACATTGCAAAGTCAGCGTGGGAAGATCTGATTGCATTAAATACAGAGATGACGGTGCCACCAGGGTTGATAAGTTATACAAGCGAAAGACAAGCCCTGGGATTCAGGAAAAGCAGAACCACGTTCTTACCTGGTGCTGTCAGACCTCCCCTCCCCACGAGTAAACAAAAACAGTGCTCTCTTATGGTAAGTAGAGGCTGGGCTGAGGCCTCCCTGGCAGGACAGGTAGGATTAGTAATTGCTAGAGCCACCTGAGTATTGTCATGATTAACAGGCATTGATTCCTTTCTGCTTTGGCGTTTGAAGGTTGCAGGCTCTGGTGGGAGATTGCTTTTATCTTTTATCCACTAATTGTCCGCTCTGAAGGGGCTCACCATTCTGTGGCTATCCCCTGCTTCCTGCTTGCAGCTCTCTGAGAATTCACGGAGAGCCTGTGAGCAGACAGAGCTGGGCATCTCTTTGATCCACATACGACTCCAGCTGCACACGACAGCTACTGGAGAGGACGGGGAAGGGTAGACCAAGGTCCTCAAGAGGAAGTCAAGGGGTCTTCGTCAGTGGGCTGGTAAAAGTGAGCTCAAGCCAGGGCTGGCCAGGGTGGCACACAGCGTCATTACACTGAAGCTTATGTAAAAGAAGCCAGTCCTGCTGGCTTGGAATATCGCCCCTCTGTAAGCACCACTTTTGTGGTGTTTGCTTCTCTGGGAGCAAACATTGGGTATTAAAGGGACATTTCAACAGATTTCAGTGTTCTCAGCAAAGTGAGATGTTATTCGATTAAAAAGGTGCCTTGGTACTCGCGGGTGAGCAATAAATATTTGTTGATTTGATTCTCAGTTCTCTTCACAAAGGAAGTGGACTTGAAGAGGATTTTGGAGAAATAATTTTTTGAAAGATTGAAATTAGCCACTACAACCTCATCTCCTACAATTATGTTGCAGAAAAATTGTTTATTTGCCTGGCTTATGAGGGAGCTGGCTTTTCTTGGCTTTATTTTCCCCTAGTGTCTGATTTAGTGGGTGAAAAATGGAGAGGACGAAAGAATAACATGGAACACCAAGTATATTCTTGTTTTAAACAAGCAAACCAGAATCAACAGAGACTGGTAAGGAAATGCTCCCCTCTCGCCTGCACCTACTTTCAACTCAGTGGAACCCCACTAAATTGTCCTGGGGTGATGCGTGCGAGTGTATTTGCGTGCGTCTGTTCCGAAACTTCGTGATTTCCTTGATACCGGTTTCACGTGTGCATGGATCAGAAGGTACTGAAAGGGGCCAGGCGGCGGGGTTCCAGGTGGGGCCCAGCAGGCCTTCCTACTCAGACCGCCTTCAACTCTGCCATCTTGATGCTACACAGCATGCTTTCCTTTTTCTAAATATTTATTTATTTAAGAGAGAGAGAGAACGAGAGAGCGAGAGAACTCCCATCTGCTAGTTCATTCCCCGAATGCCTGCAGCAGCTGGGCCTGGGCCAAGGCTGAAGCCTGCAGCTCAGAATTCAATCCAGGTCTCCCAGGGGGAGGCAAGAAAACCAATTCCTCGAGCCATCACCGTTGCCTCCTGGGCTCTGTTTTGGCAGGAAGCTGGAGTCAGGAGCCGCAGCCGGGAATCGAACCCAGGCACCCCAGTGAGGGACGAGGGTGTCTTCACTGCCGGGCCAAACGCCCTCACACGTGTTTTCTTTTGTACAGCTGATAGCTCAGGGCTACCATGCGCCTCATCCGCCCGTCTGCGTGTCAACAGTACAAGAATAGCTGCCTGTACCCGCTCCTTTCAACATCTGTGGAGGCTCTTTAAAGAATCCAATAAATGTAATCAAAGACCAAACAATCAAACACCATAAATAATTCTGCTGAGAAGCTGAAGAGGCCTTGGCAACTGCATTCCCCCACTGCCTTCCCCTGAGAGCGTGCGTGCCGCTCTCTCTGTCACTCTCTCTCTCTCTTTGTTCTCCCTTCCTGCCTTTGTCTATTTCTAACACATTTTTACTGCTCTGCAACATTAATCACCGAATATCTTCCCCAGCTTTCAAAACCCCGGATCAAAATGTGGTGGCTCACGGATCCCTGAACCCACTTCAGTCCTAAGCGAGGCAGTGAGCGTGGGGGCTGAGACCCCAGCCCGGGGCCTGTTCTCTCCAGTCTCCAAAAGAGATTCTTGCAGGAAAATCATACGCCTGACCTTCGTTCAGACTACAGTTCTAAAGGATTTTCCATTAAAGCTGTCGTTAAGTAAACAGCTCCTGCCTGGAAGGCTCATTCCCCTCTCTTCCCAATGGCCCTTTCTTCCCCACAATTCAGGGCGGGTGTCAGACTTTGCTCAGCTGAATGATCTCCCCACGCCTGCCCATAAGGGTACAAGTGAGAGACATTATCCAGCAAGGCCGAGAGGGAAAACTGGATGATGACGTTTTGAGGAACGACATTATCCAGGAACGTGAGCTCCACTGGAATGATTGTGTCCAACGATTTTTTTTTTAAAGGACTCAATTTAGATACATTTCCAATATAGCTTCCAGACCCTCTACAGCTTTCCTAATGAGAACCATGAAGATATTGGAGCATAAACAAAAACATCGCTTCACGCCGGGGGACTTAGCTGGTATGGATTCTACCACTGTACGCGATGGATTTAATGATCAGGGACTGTGTCAGGGCTCCTGCAGTGCTCATGCCGAGTGAGCTTCTTCCTTTCTGCTTGGCCTTTGCTCGGGTCCCCAGTCTCCCGGGGAGACGCGGATATTCGGCCTCTTACCCGTTTGGTGAGCTGGGTGTCCATCATGAAGTTGTGAACGTGCTTCTCTGCTTTGGTGAGTTCCAGCTTCCGGGCCACCACGGCCACCACGAGGGCAGTGCAGCCCGCACCCTGTTGGGGAGGGGGGGACACCAAGAGGACCAGAGGGGAGACAGCACATCAGTAAGAGGCAAGGCTCAAGACCTAACTTGCCCTGTGCCCACTGGAGGGGTTCCCTGGGAGTGGTGTCGGAACTCAAGCTTTCTGGCTGGTCCAGACCAAGCCACACGGCCGTCAAAACCCATCGGGGCCCTGGCCCCCAGCCGCAAGGGGGTCTGCCGTGCTCTTGGCTGTGCTGCACAGTTGACCTCTTAGGGACAGAGTCTTCATGGTGCTACCTGCTTCTTCAAGGGGCAGGATACTGGATGAGGCTGAGGCTTTGGAGAGTTAACCAATGGCTAACCACCGGGTCCCCTCCTAGGCTGTGCAGCCCAGCAGATAACAGAAGAGCCAGCATAGAGGGGCTACCTTCCTCCATGCCTGTCCCAGCTCCAGACCTGTGGCCCGAGAGACTGGAGCCTGGATGCAATGCCTGCTACATTTGCAAGTTTTCCTGAGAATAATGGGATGAAGACGCCACCCGGTTTCCCCAAAGACGGTTTCCCAGTGGGAACCTGCTTAGCGTGAGCGTGTGCACTCGGTGCTCTGCTTGCTCCACAGCTGGGCCCTTCTACCTGGAAGTCTAGGCTGTGACTCAGCACAGGGAGTTGGAGCTTTCTGGCTTTCACCAGGAAGTTTATGGGTCACGCAAAGAACTGGAAGATGAGAACAACACTTCTGCCCAAGACCAGGATGTTCAGAGAACCTGTCCAGCACCTGCTGCACCACTTCCAGGCTACGGGGGCGGGTTCAGGGTGGAGAGGAGAGAGCCAGGGTCTGCTTGAGTCACAGAGTGGCAGGACTTCCTCAGCCCCTCCTAATCTTTGGGGTGCACACTTGGCTATTGGGGAAAGGAAAGTGGCCATTCCAGCATCCTGCCACTGGGTTTGGAATATTCTCCGGCACTAGGGTAAGAGAGAGAATGGAGAATCCGCCTTCCCTGACTCGCCTGGGGCCGATGAGAGGAGTCAGCCCTGTGGCTGCAGAGAGAGGACTCTCCTCAGAGACCACGGCCCTCACCCTGCATGCTGGACCGGGGACCACCCTGGCTGCCACTCATGGCACGAGAAGATGCACTCACTAAAGCCGACAAGCTCCTCCTCTAGATACAAACAGAAATTTCTGTTCGCAGAGAAGCCAGTGTAGCAGTCTGGGGTCCTGGGATTGACGGGATTGATCAGTGACATGTGGGCTCAGCAGGTCTCACAAAACTTACAAGAAATGGAAGAGAATGTTTTCCAGGAGTACCCTAATCTCCCACCGCTGGGAGCAGCCTCCACGGGGAGACCAGCTTCCTGTTCTCGTCTGCCTGGTCTCTGTCTCTCTCTCTTTCTCCTTCCCCGTGGGCAGCGGAAAGTTTTTGGCTGAAGTGGATGGTGCTTTCCCTTCCCCTTTAAACCACCCAGGGAGCCTTGTTGCTGGGGTCGGCCACACAGCAACAAGGTGGGGAGAGCGGTGTCTGCGTGAACCTTCCCGTTCTGACCTCGTTTTCTTCTGTCGCTGTTTTCTTGGCGTCTGTGGCTTACAGGAGACTCTGTGCCCAATTTTCAAAGGATACAGGCCTTGCACAGCCTGGTCTGTGGCTGCAATCCCTTTGGCCAGGCCTCCAGAGGCAGAAAATAACTTAAAAGCAGCCGTCCTGGAGGGCAGATGTGTGCTCTCCTTCCCTCTTCCAGACCCAGCACCAGCCCTCGCCTTTATGTGGCGTTCCAGAAGTACTTGGGGCTGAAAGCCCAAAAAGAGGGATCTGTCATTGTGTTAAAAATGGAACGTCAGACGAGAGGGCCTCCCCAGGCTCCCTCGGCTGCCTGGGTCCAGGCAGGCCCTCCCTGAGAGCTGGGGTGCACCCAGCCTGAAGTGGGGAGTCTCCTTGCTCACCATGCCACCTAGGGGAACACCAATAAAACGAGCAATGGTCCACCGTCTTGAGTGGACAGGTGGAGTTTCTTGGCATGGACTGCAGCCTGGCCACCTGACCACAGGGGGCTTCTAATCAGAGTATTTTAGCCAAGGAACGATGAAGATAACGGCCTGCCTGGAGCCAGGTGACACTCGTCAGTGTCTTTCAGCGTTCAGATCTTGAGACTCCCTCACGGACAGCTTTCTGGAGGAGGTACATTCTCGGCCCCTGATTTCAACATGAACACTTAGCAGTGGCTGCTCTCAAGTTCATTTTTCTTTTAGATAATCCACTGTCTGGATGTAACCAGGAAAGTCACCCTAATGATGCCTCACATGGTCATTTCCATTAAGAGGCAATTTGTGAAGGAAGGCAGGCAGGCAGCACCAGCCTCCAGAGAGGGATGGGCACAGTGCTGCAGCCAGAGTGAGACGGGGAAGAGGCAGAGAGAGGCAGGGCTGCAGCAGAGAATGAGACAGGAATACGTTGTGTTGCACCCTCAACAGCAAGAGTCGTAAGGGGCAAGGAAGGGGGGAAGCCAAGGAATAAGAAAAACTGATGGGTTGATGGGATTGAGAGGGGAGGGAAGAACACAGAACCTAAGACTCAAGTCAGAAATTCATGGTCAGGGCTGGTGCTGTGGTGCGTGGGTAAAGTCACCACCTGTGATGCCAGCATCCCATATGGTGCTGGTTTGTGTCTTGGCTGCTCCACTTCCTGATCTAGCTCCCTGCTAATGGCCAGGGAAAAGCAGCGGAAGATGGCCCAAGTGCTTGGGCCTCTGTTACCTACATAGGAGACCTGGACGGAGCTTCTGACTCCAGCCTGGTTCAGTTCTCTCTCTCTCCCTATCTTTCTGTAACTCTGACTTTTGAATAGACAAATAAATCTTTAAAAAAAAAAAAAGAAGAAGAAGAAGAAAGAAAGAAAGGAAAGGAAAGGAAAAAGAAATAGAATAAAAAAAAAGAAAAAGAAAAAAGAAGTTCATGGTCAAGCTTGGCCCTGTAAGGGGAAGTAGCACACCAAGGGATTCCTGCCACACACACGCGTCGCAGCCCTGCTGTGTTCCTCTGAGAGGCGTGGGGACTGCCTGTCGCCGGAGGGCCTCTGGGGACAGTGGGCCTTTATACTCGGACAAACTTATCATTCTGACGGGGCCACACGGCAGCCAGGCCATGCTCGTGGGAAGCAGCAGTGATGGGGGCTGGCTTCATGGAACACAAAGCGGCAGACACTGGTTAACTGCTCGTGGGAGCTCGTGCCGTCCTTGTGGGGAATCTCAGCCATGGCCGCGGGGCAGAGGGGCCAAGTGAGGAGAGGCTGGCGGCTGTGGGACAGAAAAGGCAAGCAGCTGCTGGCGTGGCTGCCACGGGGGCAGGTCTGTGACTCAGCTTTTTGCCTTGGGATGTGCCAAGTTGCCTGACACCACCTGGATTCTAGGGGTCTGCTCTGCCCAGCTCCTGTTCCCGTGGGGTGGAGCTCTCCCAGGTGCGCGGGCGAGCAGGGAACACAGGGTGAGTGCAACACGGCAGGGAGTGGGGAGGGCTGGCGTGGGGAGAACATGCCTAACTCATCCATGACTTGGATCCAATTCGGGGCCCAGCCTCCTCCACACGGGTCCTCCCACTCCTGGTTTCCAACACACATCTTCCAGCTGGAAAACCTTAGAAGCTGGAAAAACACGTATCCCCAGGGGAAAAGGATGAGGTGTTCTTAACTAAAGAAGCATAAAAGAAAATAAAGCATAAATGAAAGTGACAAATGGAGGAGGGCAGCCTGGAGGAGCTACGGTCGGATTCTGTTTCTGCGACAGATCCCATGGAACGGCTAAAATAACGCGGACCGGTTTGAAACCAAGGTGTTTGGGAAGAAGCTCGTCTTCTAAAACCGACATGAAGCAGATGTCTTGCTGAGCCCTCTTTTTGCCTCCTCCCCAGATGACTCAATTTGTGCTACCTTTTCCTTCATTGTCACTTTCTGTTTGCAGTTCAAAGAGGCCATCTCTCAGGGGGCCCTGGGGGGATGCTCCGTGTCCCCATGGACATCTGGAAGCTTTTAGATATTTGGCTGGGACTTGTGAAGGGTCACAGAGCGAGCCCAGCTTTAGGAAGTGGCTGTACTGAAATGCAGTTACCACCATGCAGACTCTGGGGCCCCAGGGGACTTCTGGGTGACCGCAGAGCCAACAGGCCAGGCCAGAGCACGTCTGACGCTTGCTGTCACGTCCAGTGCTGGGCACTAAGGGCTGCCAGTGTTCTCTCGGCTGCATGGAAACCGTTACCCTGAAAACTGCTCACAGAAAGATGCTGGACTTTGACACATCTGTTCTCCAGGGCGAATGCCCTCCAACGCACCGCGTGTGTGCCAGCAACATCAAGTTGTTCAGACAACTATATACCCTGCTTAATGGTTGGTAATTACACCGTTACTGGGATTGCCAAGAGAAAACAATGATTAAGACTATTTACAACCCGCACACACAAATCCTTCCCTTCGCTTCCCAGGCAGGCCTTGCCTTGGCCTTCATGGTGTCCATGGCAACCAAACAGGAAGCCCTACCTTCAGCACAGGCACTTGCAGGAATAAAGGGGAGACAGACACAGTGTTGGTTGGGAGGCGGGAGGGGCAGGATCTTCAGCAACGTGAAGTCCCTGAAAGGAGTGACTCAGCGAGAAAAGTGACATTTGATAGAGAAATGCCACCAGGGTTCACGGCTGTGGCTGGCCCCAGAGTGAGGCAACCAGCTTCAATTTGTGTAAAAGGCCTGAGAGCAGGCAGAAGCAGCCTGGCTGTGGCTGGGAACACAGGGGCCTGTCTCCATGCCGCCGGGGCTTAGGCAGAAGGAGAAGATGAAAGGCAGGTGCTCTATCTTTCATGTGGAAGGTGGACACCCGTTCCTCCCCATCTGTTTGTTCTTCTGCTTTGATCACCCTTCCCTCCTCAAGGAGCAAAAATGCCCAGGAGGGCTGTGCACCTTGGTAGCAAAGAAGGGTACTGCCGCAAGGCCACAGCCCGGGGCGAGGGGTGCAGCCTGCTCCACCCAGCCTGGTCACGGCAGAAGCCCTGAGATGCACGGTCCAGGAGCCAGGCAGAATGGCTGGTATTTAAAAATTGCAGGGGCCAGCGCCACGGCTCACTAGGCTAATCCTCCACCTGCGGCGCCAGCACACCAGGTTCTAGTCCCGGTCGGGGCGCCGGATTCTGTCCCGGTTGCCCCTCTTCCAGGCCAACTCTCTACTATGGCCCGGGAGTGCAGTGGAGGATGGCCCAAGTGCTTGGGCCCTGCACCCCATGGGAGACCAGGAGAAGCACCTGGCTCCTGCCTTCAGATCAGTGTGGTACGCCAGCTGCAGCGCGCTGGCCACAGCTGCCATTGGAGGGTGAACCAACGGAAAAGGAAGACCTTTCTGTCTGTCTCTCTCTCTTTCACTGTCCACTCTGCCTGTCAAAAAAAAAAAAGATTAAAAAAAATTGCAGGGGCTCCCTGTACAGCCCAGCCTCGGTGGGCAGCAGGCTCTGGGCTGCCTCTGAGGACAAAGCCCACGCCCCGGGTGCGGCTCCTGCAAGGGGTGCGCTGGCCTTCGGGTGGCATTTCCGAGCTTTCTGGTAGGAAGCCGCTCTCCCTGGTTTCCTGGTGACAGCTGGAGCCCTGCCAGGCAGACTCCTACTAAACGCCGGGCGGTGTTTGTTCTAAAGCCTCACACTTACCCGCGATTTATCCCAGCCCCGGCGCTAAGCCTGTTGTCATTAGCTGCCGTTTCAGAGGCTGCCTGCTCACATGGGCTGCCCTGGCTTGGCATCAAAAATGAGGAGAGGGCTGTGTCCAGCCCCGGGCCCACTGGCCCTGGCCTTTCTCTGACCCCAGGGCCTTCTGTGCTCTGCAGGGCCCTAGAGGCCAACAGGACGAGTTGGGTGTGGCATGGGGGCAGCCCCCAGCCACGGGAGGCCTCAGCTCGGACCTGCGGGAGGAGCACAGCCCACCCTACCCACTGCAGGGAGAAGTGGTGAGAGAGGAAACCCGCAGGGGCGCTGAGAGGAAGGGGCTCCCCGCAGCAGCATGGGGGTGTGGGGCAGGGATGCCTGGAGACCCCGCAGTACCCGGCCCCGGCCTCCTCGCCTCCACCTCCACCTCCCCCGCCCCACCCTCTCCCCAGGCTGAGATGCAGGCTTTCATCTTTCAGCCTCAGCTTCTTCCTCTGCAGAGAGAGTCCCCCTGCTCGAGGATTCTTGGTCAGAGGTCCCGCACCCCAAGCATGGAAGACGCCCAGGGGGCACCTTCCCTGTTCACACGTGAGCGTGAGCACCGGTGCTCACAGGCACCTTAATGGAAGGCATTTTGTTTGGTCCTCACAAGCCAGAGAGGAGGGCTGGGCAGGCCTTCCATGCCCCACCCCCACCCCCAACACTTCAGAGTGGGCGGTCCCGCAGGCAGCACCTTCCCCAGGGCCACAGTGAGGGGCGGCCATGGACATTCAGACCCTGCTCTGAGTCCCCAGCCCACGTTCTTCTCATACACCGTGTGACAAGGACATCTGAAGGGCGTGGGCCTCGGGAAGCACACAAGGGTTAATGGTAGGGGGAGGGGAGCAGCAGAGTGATGGGCCAAGAAACATTGCTTACAAGGATGTGGCTTACCTGCTGGGCACCTGGGATGCAGCCACACCATTGCCAGATGCCCGTGCCGGACGGGACTGGGCTCCTTCGGTACCTGGCACCTCAACAACGCATATGTGGGAACCAAAGCCTGAGCAAGCTGAGAGCTGGCCCAGGGCCACAGGGCCAAACAAAGACCCATGTTGGTGGCCAGCCCAGTGCCCGACACCGGTCCCTGGAGGCCTGCTCAGTGCTGTTTCCTCGGTCCCTCCCTTTGTGAGTTCCAGTTCATCAGAAAGGGTGTCAAGGTCTTTGGGATCCAGGGGACAGGGAAGAAGGCAGGGAGAAGATCGGGCAGCTGGCTGGAGTTGGGGTGGGGAGCAGAGGTCAGCCAGCTACCCCCAGCCACTCTGCGGGGGCTGTGACTAGACCACTAACTACCAGGACCCTGAACCTGGCAAAGCTAGCTGAGAAGCGAGCCATGATCACAGGTTTCACATGGGCCTTTCTGTGTGCAGGGGGGGACATGCACACAGGTCTGCCAAGCAGCAGCCGTCCCTGAGCCCCGGCTGTGAAGGTCCCACTGTGTGTGCGATAAAAGCTCTTGGCAACATTTTGAGGGCAGGGTAGTGGGCAGAGCGGGTACTCACCATGATGCCAGTGAGAAGACAGACACCTTTCCCACAGTATGTGTGGGGCACCATATCCCCATAACCAATGGAAAGGAATGTGATGGAGATGAGCCACATGGCACCCAGAAAGTTACTAGTTACGTCCTGCTGGTCATGGTACCTGCCAAGGGGGAAGACAGGAGTTAGTTGATGCCACTGCCACTCTTGGGAGTCAAGGCTGTGACAAACCTAGAGGGGAGAAGGCATGAGATAGCAGTGGCCGTGACACACACAGGTCTCTAGGATATTGAAGGTGCAGCCACAGTGCCCACCCAGGTCCTGCCTGCAGCACCCTCTTCCCTCTCCCTCCCCCAACCCCAAGCGCTGCCACGAGCTGGGTCCTTGTTCCCAGAGGCAAAATGTGCTGTCACAATTTGCACCATACTGTCGACATCTTTTTAGTGCTGGGAAGATAGCTTTGGGTGAACTCATGCACTAATAAAATGTGAATTTTCCCTTCCAACAGTCTAAATGTATGTGGATGTGATTAATTCGAAATCCCAAGCACCTGGACAGGGAAAAATATTCAAAAAAACAAATCACCAAACACATTTTCCCATCTCCTCTGAGGAAGTTGATGGCCCTCAAAGCCCGCACCTCCGGGCTGTCTGCAGGGAGGCTGTGGCGTCCAGGCTGTTGGGGAGCTGGCTCCAGGGACACCTTGCAGTGTCCCCAGGGGCTTGCGGCTGCCCTGGCGTGGGAGTGACCAGCGGGGGATGTAACACCACCACTCCCTCTCCAGATGCCCGAGGTACCCACCCCAGCCCAGCCCAGGAGGGGCGTCTGCTGAGGACTCAGGCATTTGCAGGAGGTGGCAGGCACCTTGGAGACAATGACCTTGGCCCAAACACACAAGGGTGAGTCAGAGAAGGTGCCTTCTATGGTTCCAGTGCAGCCTTTCCAAAATGCAGGTGCTGCCAACGTGGCTGTTGAAGAGGTAGGGCCTTCGAGAGGAGGTCGGGCCACACGTGTGGGGCTGCAGCCCTTCTAACAGAGAATCCACGCCACGGCCCATCTTCCTCCACGTGAGGACACACTGACAGGAGCCGTCTGTCCTCACAGGACAGCCATGCCTGCTGCCGCTTGGGTCTTGGACTTCCCAGCCTGCAGAACCGTGACACGTAGATTTCTGTTCTTTGCAAACTACCCGACCTGTGATGCTCTGTCGTGGCACCACAAACAAACCGAGACCCAGGAGCAAGGTGTGAGTTCCCCAGGCAGGCCAGGGGACCAGGCATCCTGGGAGGTGAGACCACCCAGGGCTCCACGTCAACACAGCGGGTGGCCAGGCTGCACCTGGCGGGCAGGGCTGGTGAGCACGCAGTGACTCTGTGTCTTATCCCGTGGGGAGATCATTTGCTGACACACTCTTCCAGCCAGCCACTTGTGGGCCACAGGACGGGGAAACTGAGACAGGGCCATGGAGAACAGACCGACCTGGCCGGATGGGGCAGAAAGCTACTTAGGAAACGTAATGCGCAGGACTTCGTTACTGAGGAGGCGACGATGAGCTAACACACACACATGCAGGCCTGGAACAAAGAGGCCCTCAGGCAGCGGCGGCTGCTGGCCCCAGTGTCCATCAGGCGGGGTCTGTCCATGGCCCAGGGACATCAGCAAATGCTGCATGTCCTCCCTTTCCCTCCTAGGGCAGGTGTGCAGGGAGGGCTGCGGGCACAGGTGAATCGAGATGGGCCTGGAAGGAGGCAGATGCTGTGCCAGACAGAACAGGGACAGGGACCCAGAGTGCAGTCTGAGGAACACCCTTTATTATGCACCTGCTGTGTGGCGGGTGCTTTGCCTGCAATCGCTCTCATTCTTACAACACCCTTTAAAGTACTTTACAGGTCAGCAACTGGAAGCACAGAGAGGTTGTCCTGCTTGTCCGGGGATACACAGGAAGCAAATGAAGCGAAGCCCAGAAGGCCCTATTGCCAGCCACTCAGCACCAGAGAGGAGAAAGTGCCTTGAGGGGTGCCTGGCAAGTTCTAGTGAGGGCACCTGGACTTCAGTAGCAGCTGGCGAGGTAGCTTTAGAGAGCAGGGGCCAGATTTTTGGAGGGCCTGGGGTTCTAGGAGGAGAAGTTTGGATTTGAATTTCATAGCTTTGGAAGCAATTCTAGGTCTCTGAGCAAAGGAATGATGGGACGGCATGGCTTGCTGGGAGGGCTGAGCTGCAGGTGGTGAACAGGATGCTTGTGAAGATGGAACGCGGGGCGCCGGGGGTGGAGGGAGAGGGATGGCCAGGTGAGAAGCAGGTGCAGTCTCCTGAGCCCAGCCCTAGCGGATCCCCTGCAGGCACGTCAGCAGTACCTGTCCAGCCCCAACTTGAGTCATCCGCCAGCCATGAGTGGGGGTGGCATGGACTTTGTGTTACTGTCTGCACAAGGGCAGGGTGCCTGGTACTGCCAGGGACATCTGAAGCGCAGACAGCTCCTCCCCAAAGTCTGGCTGATAATGACCTTCCCTGCCCTCGCCTCCCGCTTCCCTTGCTCCCCAGGGATGCTCTGTGGCTGCTGCTTCCACTGGGCCTGGTTTCCCTGAGGCTGAGCCTATGTTCCTTACTCAGTGTGTATCTGACTCACATGAGCTGGTGGTGCTCAGCTCTAGCCCCCAGCACTGCTCCTGCCCCCCGTATATTAGCACCATCCCCATTCTAATGTGGCCTTGAATGGGCAGCTGCCTGCCCTGTCCTGCTCTGTTGCCCTGCCAGGCCCCTTAGGCTGTGCAATTCTCTGCACTCCTGCCTGCTGCCTTCTGGCTGGGTGGTGCGGTGGCAGGTCCCGTGCTGAGGTGGCGCTGGAAAACCAGACTGTGAAGCGGAAAGACTCAGTGACTGGGCACGGGGCAGGGGCAGGGGCAGGGGCAGGGGCAGGGGCAGGGAAGGGAGAAGCCTTTAGGCAGCTCCACGCCACAAGCAGCAACACATAAGCAACTGTGTAAGAGTCAAAGCCGAGCTTATCAGTTCATCCGAAGGACATTCCTTGGGAGAAGGAGCCTGGGGCGGGTCTAAGGACAATGAGAGTGTGGGGGTTGAGTAGTGAGAAGCTGCGAGCCCATGGTCCTGGGCTTGCCAGCCTGAAGTTGCCTTAACTGCTGAACCAACCTACAAGCAAGCACCGTGCTTGTCCCAGAGCCTGTGCCCACTAACAGCAGTAGTTACAGCTGTGTTGAGAGGGGGCCTGGTGCCATCGTTCTGAGAAACGATATTCAGAAAAACAACAGGGGCGTGAGTCTCCAAGTGCAGCGGGCATTGGGTGGGCTGCGGGCTGTGATGAGGTGCCTGGGGGTGTGTGTTGAAGTTTAGGTAGGAGAACTATTTGAATGGATCTACTCTAAGTTCTACAGAATGGATCTACTCTAAGTTCTTGGACAGAGGAGGGGCATGAAACACTTGCTCTCTGGAAATGATTAAGAAGTCAGGCCCCCTGGCCGGCGCTGTGGCTCACTAGGCTAATCCTCTGCCTATGGCGCCAGCACCCCGGGTTCTAGTCCCGGTTGGGGCGCCGGATTCTGTCCTGGTTGCCCCTCTTCCAGTCCAGCTCTCTGCTGTGGCCCGGGAGTACAGTGGAGGATGGCCCAGGTCCTTGGGCCCTGCACCTGCATGGGAGACCGGGAGGAAGCACCTGGCTCCTGGCTTCGGATCGGCACAGCGGCCATTTGGGGGGTGAACCAACGGAAGGAAGACCTTTCTCTCTCTCTCTCTCTCTCACTGTCTAACTCTGCCTGTGCAGACACACTACTATTTTCACAAAAATGAGAAGAAGAAGAAGTCAGGCCCCAGACAGTGAGGACCACTAGGAGGGTAGCAAGTGCCCGGGGAGAAGCAATGGAGAGCCCTGAGTGCCCAACCACGAGACCGGGATCCAATCTGCAGCCCGCCTCTGCGCACCTTGCTGGTTTTGCTGTGCACACAGTTCTCCAAAGCTCCCCCACCCCTTTCCATGCAGACTCTGAGGTTTAAAGTTCTGTGCCCTTCCTGTGCAATGGCTACCAGGATCACGGACCACCCCATTCCTGTGGGGGGCGGGGGGAGGGACTCTGAGGTAGACACTAGACATCCCAGCGGCATTAAGTCCAAAGCAACAGATAATGGCTCTTTTTAAAGTTCATGTCCAATTTACTGCCTTTTCTTTTTTTAAAAAAAAATCCCTTTATATGCTTGTGGGTTCTTTTGTCATTCACCATGTAAAATCCCCTTGGCGCTACCTAGGTGCTGAGGAGAGAAGCAGCTCTTGAGGATGTCATTCTGTGAGACCTCAGCCGTCTCTCTGTGGGGTGGGCCAGAGAAGGTGAGATGGATGGGACACACCCCTGCGCTCCTGTGGCGTGGAGCGTTGTCATGGAGACAAGGCATGCATGCAACTCACCAAGCAGGAAGTGATGAGCGAGAGAGCCGGCCTGGTGATTCAGGACTGTGGGAGTAGAGAGGAGGGAGAAACGTTGCTAACCTAGTCACAGTTTGAGAGTGGTTTACACATGTCACAAATTCACGTACTAATCTCATGCTATTTTTTGCAACAGAGAAATGGGTAGGGGGAGGGAGCTGGTGGCAGGTTTCCATGTTTCTCTTTAAGGCCGAGGAGGGAAAGACATGATTTTCCTTTGAGCTCAGGGCAGTCATTGTGAATCTATTCTCAGGGTGCGGCCTGTGGGGGTTTCCCCACTTTCTACTATTGTGAAATAAATGAGTGCTAAAGATGGTGGGTTAGTCAGGTGTGTCTACGTGTGCCCCTTCGAACCTCATACTACTCTGGTTCACGGGCTCCGACTTTGAAAAGCAAGCAGCCGACCTGGAATCTTCAGCATGTGAGGGATTCTCTCACATTAAAGATGCAGGGACCAGCCACTTAACACAGCCAAAGGGAAAAAGACTCTGGGTCACATACAAACTCTCAAACACAATCCTCCGAGGAGCGCCCCGGGAGACATAAAATTAAGACAAGGACCCGCGAGACAGGCATGTAGAGCTCTACAAAGAGTCTCCCTGCAGGGGCTGAGGAGACCAAGGAGGTCTCCCAGAGGCAGAACAAGAAAGTGGAACTACAACAGAGGGAGGTAGCGACTCTGTCTACAGTGTAAATAATAGTAGGTCCGGGGAGAAAGAATTGAGGGGGAAAGGAGGAGGAGAGGAAGAAAAAAGAAGAGGAAGGAGAGAAGTAAGCATTAAGGAAATAATAACAAAAAATCCCCCAGACCTCAAACAAATGAGTTTCTGGATCAAAGAACTACTATCCCCAGCATGGCGGGAGAAAGCAGGCACACAGTGGGGCACAGAATTGTGACATTTCAGAGCACCAGGGGAAAGGAGAAGGTCCCGCAGGACACAGAAACAGCGATGAGAACGCCTCTGGACTCTTTTTGCAGCAACACTGGAAGCTGGGCGGCCATGGAGCAAAGGCTTCCAAATTATGAATGGAAACGACCTGTTTCCATGGGATCCCAGAATTCCACACAAGCCAAAGCTCTGGGAAGGCTGAAGGCAGAAGGAAGATACTTCCCGGATGTGCCTCCCACGTGCCTTCCTCAGGAGGCCACAGGGGAGGGTGGTTCCCCAAGACCAAGGAAGAAGACGGCAGGATGGAGACGGTGAGACCTCTGCAGGATGCGAGCAGGCGTGGAGGAAGGCAGTCCAGACCCGAGCAGATGAGAAGGCTCTGGGAGATGTCCCCAGGGAGGTGACATTGATAAAATAAATAAATAAATAAATAAATAAATAAATAAATAAAGGCCCAGTGTGCCTGAACTTCATGAGAAGAGATGTAGACAGACCACAGCCAGAGCTTGGGGCTGGATTGGTGGTAAACACATCCGAACCAAAGCAAACAAGCAAATGCAGTAATTAACTGCTCCAGGAAAAAAAAAATAAAAAGTTTGCAGGAGAAGAAAACTGGTCTTGCTTTACTACGGGGCTCAGCTATGAATAGAGTCAAATTAGTGTTGACTGAGAAATGTAAACACTGACTGCTGAATTAACGCAAGTGAGGAGGGACTCGGGAAAGGAGGGTGGGAGGGAAGGGGGCGGAGTCTTCAGCCTCCCTGGAGGGCAGTGAGAGAGGATGCACAGAACCAGCCCAGCAGGAAGCAGCTCCTCTGGAGCAGGGCAAGTGGAACTCGAGGGCGGACAGAAGACAGGTCAGCCTGGAAGTATGCACACGTAGGACTAAAAAAAAAACATAAAACCGAACCAAAGGGGCAGGCGTGTGGCACAGCAGGTTAAGCCACTGTATGCAAAGCCTACATCCTGTATGGAGCACTGGTTCCAATCCTGGCTGCTCTGCTTCTGATCCAGCTCCCTGCTGATGTGCCTGAAAAAGCAGCAGCAGATGGCCAAGTGCTTGGGCCCCTGTCACCCCACGCATGAGATAAGGATGGAGCTCCAGGCTCCTGGCTTTGGCCTGGTCCAGCCCTGGCTGCTGTGGCCATTTGGGGAGTAAACCAGCAGATGGAAAATCTCTCTCTCTCTCTCTCTCTCTCTCTCTGATGCTTTGCCTTTCAAATAAATAAACAAACCTTAAACACAAACAAGCAAAAGCAAACCAAAGAGGAAAAAAAGAAAATACATGTAGTATTAAGCTACAGAACATAAGCAGGAAGTTAGCATCCAGGAACTCACATCTGACCCCAACGGCCGCATCCACCTGTGGGTGCTCTCCAGCCTCAGTCTCCACCCCCAGCCCTGACAGAATCATTACCCTGATGTTTGTGTTTATCATTTTTTGTTTTTTTCTTTGCCACACTTCCACATAGCTACTTCCCCAAACAATGCAGTAATTTTGTGTTGTGTGTTTGTGAACATCATGAAAAGGAAATGGTACTACAAGGGTGTGGCTTCTAAATGACCCCTAATGCTTCCCCTCCCCCCAAGGCACTCACCTACTTGTGGGCTGGACCTCGTGTAGAACAAATAGAACAAGGCTGAAGTGGACTTTCACTTCGGTTGTGATAAGATTGTGGCTTCCCTGGCAGGAGCCGCCCTCCGAGGCTGAGGCCAAGCCCAGGGAGCAGCCCAGAGCATGAGGGAGCACAGCTGCCCCCAACCTCACTGGGGAGCTGGGAAGCCACACACTCTCTAGGTTGAGCCCAGAGACCACAGTCTACAGTCTCATGCGACACCTCCAGCCAGAGGTGCTCATTTAAGTACTTGGATTTCTGACTCAGAATAGCCATGAGATAGTAAATATGTATTATTTTAACTTGTTAAGTTTGGGGCAATTTGTTATGAAGCAATATATAGCTAATAAAATGAACTCTTTTATCAATCGCATACATGTTGACACATCTGGCTGTAGCGGTTTTTCATTCCTGCATTGTATTTCACCAAAGGAATATGCTGCGACTTACTTACTAACGCGCTATTAAAGGGCATTTGGCTCATTTCCAGGGGTTTCCTCCAACGACCAATACTGCCACAAACACTCCCAGCGCACCGCGTAGCAGTTTCTAAAGAACATACCTAAGAGGGAATTTGCTTGCTGCTAGCATATGCACATACTTAACGTCATTAGAGAATGCCAGCTTGCTTTCCAAGATGGCAGCAGCTACCAGACTTCTTCGAGCAATGAAAAAGAGCTCCCGTTCTCCATCTGCTCATCTGACTTGCCATCACTGACTTTAATTTTTACCAAACCAGTGAGTAGGCTGGTGTCCTTCACTCATTCGTCATTCACGTCTTCTCCTCTGTGGAATGCCAAGCTTAATTTCTGCTCATTTTTCTATTGGCTTGTTTTAGTCTTTTCCTTACGGATTATAAGAGTTGTTTATACATTCTAGATAACAAGAACCTTGTTAGTTTATGTTTTGCAAATATCTCCTTTCAGTTCATGCCTGCCTTTCTATTTTCTTTATAGTATATCTGATGTATAGAAATGTTAAATTTTATTGTAATTGGATTTAACCCTTTTCATTTATAGTAACATGATTTTTAAAGAAGTTTTTCCATATTTGAGGCTATAAGACTTTCGATGAATGTTTTTATTTATTTATTTTTTTGACAGAGTGGACAGTGAGAGAGAGAGAGACCGGGAGAAAGGTCTTCCTTTACCGTTGGTTCACCCTCCAACGGCCGCTGCAGCCCGCGCACTGTGGCCGGCGCACCACGCTGATCCGAAGCCAGGATCCAGGTGCTTCTCCTGGTCTCCCATGTGAGTGCAGGGCCCAAGCACCTGGGCCATCCTCCACTGCACTCCCGGGCCACAGCTGAGAGCTGGACTGGAAGAGGGGCAACCGGGACAGAATCTGGTGCCCCAACCGGGACTAGAACCCAGTGTGCCGTCGCCGCAGGCAGAGGATTAGCCTAGTGAGCTGTAGCGTCGGCCAACTTTTGGATGTTTTAAAATGCTCCCTTTTTCATGTAAGTCTCTAATTCACCTGGAATTGATGTGTGTGTGTGTGGTGTGAGGTAGGGACACAACTCCACGGCTTTTCCTGTGGGTGACCAATCATCCCGGCCCCACCCTTCCATCCCTGACTTTCACTGCTGACTCCGCAATATGGACTGTCTGCACTGTGTGCAGGTTCTCCATTCTCTCCTCAGGTTATAGTATGGTCTGCTTTGTGGCCTTCTCTTGGTGACTGTCCACGGCCCAACACATCAGAGACGCTCAGTAAATAATCGGAACAAATGTGGCCTGCTTCCTGCTCTTGCTGTTCCCCCGTGAAAGCGATGCTTCCCTCAGTAACTCAGCGGAGCGTGTTAAAGTGACTTCAGCTGTTCTCCTCGGCAGATAAACTTTTGTTAGAGTGGCTGCCAAATTCCTTGGGCTTGGAGTCAGTTCTCCCCATTAATAAGAACTCAACTTCTTGACACTAGCTGTGACCCATTACAGCACCAGGGTGATAGAAAATGAAGCCAGAATGAAACGGCTGCCTTTTCTGCCTTCTTTTCCAAAGGAATTGGAACACTTTTGTACAAACTCGTTGCTGTGTGCTTGTTTGAACTCTTTTCACACTGCTCTAAGTGGTATGATGGCTCCAGCTGCTTGTCCTGGGTCTGCCTGGTCGTTGGCTGTGCGAGGAGTGGAGCCTGGCCTCTGCAGAACCCTAGCCGGGGGGCTCGCCTTGTCCTCCCCTTCCAGTCACTCCTCAACTTCACAACCCGAGCCCTGCACACTGAACTGTGGACCCTGTGCTCGCAAAGTTCTCCAATGAAGAACCTGAGGATGTGCAGCTGACTTGACCCTGGGTGGCCCTGGACCCTGGAGGGGGCTCCTCCATCCTCCTGTGGCTGTCTCCATGGCTCGCTGGCCTGGTTTCCTCCCACCTTGACCATGCTTTCTTGGCTGCCTCCTCTTACCTCCTCTTCAATGTTGCCAAGCTCCAAGATAGCCTTGGACATCCGCCTCTCTTGCTGACGTCCTGCCTGGCTCTGCCATCACTGATCCCTCCAACTGACTGCTCAAGACCCTACACGAAT